TTCTTCTTCTTCTTCTTCTTCTTCTTCTTCTTCTTCTTCTTCTTCTTCTTCTTCTTCTTCTTCTTCTTCTTCTTCTTCTTCTTCGTACTGTAGATTGAGGTCAGAACCCTGTGCTTGCCAGGCAGGCACTTATTCTACTGAACTACCTCCCCAGCCCTTGGCATAACTTTGTCCATGCTGAATTACAATCCCTTTTTTGTTTGTTTCTCTTTTTTCCTATTATGTCTTTTATGTTGATATGTATCTATCATCTATCTCTCAAGACATTTTCATGTAAGAAAAACCATACTGCATTTAAACTGGTGTGTCTGAGTTACTTCACTTAACATTACAGTCACAAGATGCATCCATTTTTCTACAAATAACTCGAATTTACCCTTCTTTTTGGCAGATTAGTATTCCCTTCTGTATAAACCCACATGTGTTTATCCACTTATATCTTGGTGGACATATACATGGTTCCAAGATTTAGCTATTGTGAATTGAGCTGGATGCGCATACTTCACTATGATGTGATCACTTTAACTTTTGGGGAGGCAGAAGTTCAGACTGGATGTTTAACAGGCGCTGCATCAGAGAAGGGGAGAACCTGTCTATTTCCAGAGCATTTCCCCAGTAGATCTGTTTGCTTGCGACAACCTCTGAAGACAAATAATTATGACACTATGGCAAGGATTTTGCATTCAGTGGCTCACAGGCCCCCAGACAGGCTACAGACTGTGACAAAACAGGTGACATCTCTCATGGGTGCAGATTGGATTCATCATAAAGTCACCAACTCAAGAATTCCAGATACAGTGTTTCAGCCTTCACCTAAAGACCATGAAAAGTATGGTGGTGATCCACAGCACCCTCATAAACTGCATGTTGTTACCAGAATAAAAAGTACAATAAGATGACTGTATAGGGAGAAAGATGTAATCAAGATGCTTGGGTTAGGGCTAGGGAGATGGTTCAGTAGAGTAAGTGCTTGCCTGGAAAGTGCAAGGGTCTGAGTTCAGTCCCCAGTTCTGGGGGAAAAAATCATAAAGATGCTTGGATTAGGAAAAGCCCACACTCCTCAAGTTCATAAGAACATTCCTTCAGTAAATTCAAAACTGAAAGTGGTTCAGTATCCCATAAGAATCTAGCCCCTGAAGCTGCCGCAAGGACTTCCCACAGAGGAGAACATGGCTAACATGTGCCTCAAGAGTACTGGGTAGTTAGTAATGTAGGGGCATTTGACACTCAGAAGCCTGTGGACACTTGGAAGCCCAGCACTGAGGGAGCTGAGCCAGGAGGATTCTTGCAAGTTCATGGACAGACCCAGGCTACATAGTTCAAGGCCAGCCTAATAACAAAGTAAAAGCTTGCCTGAAAAAAAAAAAAAAAACCCTGTGGAGCAGGAAACAAGTCCTGATGCCACAGAGGTTCGTATATTACAAAACACAAATTATATTTAAAGTTGTTGCGAGGCTGGACATGGTGATGCATGCCAGTAATCTCAGCACTCAGGAGGCTGAGGCAGGAGGATTGCTGTGAGCTTGAGGCCAGCCTACACTGCGTAGTGATAGTCTGTCTCAAAAAAAAAGTGAAGTTGGTGAGAAAATGTTTTCATTAAAATATATTTTCACTCTCAGTGACCTTTAGTGAATAAGCCTATTATGAGCCTTCCTCACTACACAGGAAAAAAACTTTTGGGGAAAGAAAGTGAATAGCTGGTCAAATGGAATTTTCCTTTTGGCTTTTGGATGAATCTCTATGCTCTATAGTTGCTTCAGTCTACAGTTCTCCAAACATGGAGAAGTGTTCCTTTTCCTCCACAGCCTCTCCAGCATTTGTTATGTTCATTTGTTGAATATACTCATTCTTCCTGAGGAGAGATATCTCAGTGCTGTATTAATTTTCATTTCTCAAATCACTGGTGGTGGTGAACATTGTTTCGTGTATTTGCTAGCTATTTGTGTGATTTCATTTGAGAAATATTTATGTATTTCAGATGCACTTTTTAATTGTGCCTTTAAACACAGGCTATCTAAACTTGTTTGAATTCTTTTTTTATTCTAACAAGAAAAATAATAATAAAACACAATTTCAAAACAGATTAGTAGGAGACTTGAATTCTTTATATATTCAAACTATTAGTCCTTTGTCTGAAGAGTAGCCAAGAAATTTTTTCCCATTCTGTAAGTGGTCTCTTCATTGCTAGTGATTTCTTTTGCTTTTAATAAACTTTTTTAGTGTGATGTGACCCCATTGGTTGATTCTTGGTATAACATTTTATGCAACTGGGATTTTGTACAGAAAGACTTTGTCTGTGTCTTCAAAGATTTTGTTTTGTCTTCCAGTAAATTAAATGTTTCTGTTCTAGTATTTAGATCTTTGATCCCTTTTGATTTTATATTAGTGCTTGGTCAAAAATGTGGGTCTTAGCCCAACCTTCAGCATGTGCATAACCAGTTTTTCCAGCTGCATTTGTTACAGATACGTTTTCTCCAGCAAAGGTATTTGACCCATTTTTCAGAAGAATTTAACTAACTATGCTGGGAGCCATTTCTTTACTTTTTTCTATTCCATTGTTCCCTGAGTCTGTTCCCCCCCCCAATACCTTGCTGTTTTTTCCACTGCAGCTTTGTAGTGTAACTTGAAATCCAAGACTATGATGTCCCCTCCCTTGCTCTTGTTGCCTAGAATTGCTTTTACTATTCTAGGTCTTTTATGGTTCCATATAAATTTTAGGATATTCTTCTCCAGTTCTTCCCTTAGAATTTTCTTCTCCAGAACATTATTGGTATTTTGATGGAAATTCCATTTAAGTCTATCTACTAGTATTGGAAGCTTGGCCACTTCAACCTCTTGGTTCTGCCTATCAGGGAGCAGGGGATATCTTTCTGCATTTCTTATCCTCTTCAAGATCCTTCTTGAGAGTGCTGTAGTTTTCACTGTAGTGGTCTTTCTCTTCCTTTGTTAGGTTAATTCCTAAGATTTCATTTCTTGGTGCTATGTGAAGGTTGTTGCTCTCCTAATTTCCCTCTCAATGAGTTTGATATGGTGTACAGGATTTTTGAGCACTGACTTTATCCTGCTACACTGAAAAATTTGGGTATTAGGTCAAGGAGTCTTTTGGGGCCTATGTAGAAGAACATGTCATCCACAAATAATGATAATTTGATCTCTTCCTACTTACCCATCTCCCTTTTTTTTCTCTTGTCTTATTATCTGAATAGTGTTTCAGGAATTATAGTAAACAGAAGTGGTGATAGTGGATGTCCTACTGGCTCCCCACATATTCTGAAAATGACTGTTATGATTCCTCAAAATCTCACAAGATAACTTTAGCTCTTTGGATTTCACTATTCCGTAAGCCCATTTCCACAAACTTTGTTTCACCAAGATTGTTTTAGTCTTTCCTGCTTTGTATTCTCTTTTGTTGTCTCGAGTACAAGGGGAAAAACTGTTCCCTTAAGCCAGGTGGTCTGCAAAGAGTATACCATGATGCAGAAACTGCTGAATGTGTTCAAGAATAAATGTGAACTACTTACCAGAGAATAAACCCACAGAGTATGATCCTGAATATTATTGGGTTCACAATGATCTGTTTCATTTGGAAATGGTTTCTGGGTACAGTCACTTCTCCCATTTTAGATATCAAAGCCTTAAATTAAAAAAAAAGAAAGAACTGGGACTCAACAGAACGAAACTGTGTTTGTAAAGCTTCATCCTACTTTCCCCTTGAATTCTACCACTCTACCCCGGAAACACAAAATAAATGATAATTGTATGAAACTATGTTGGATAATCTTGTAAAATCATTGATGATATACAGGGTATAAAAGAACTGTCAAAGTCATTTAACATTTACATCATTAAAAGACATTCATAAACATTTCTACCTGACAAAACTGCACTCAAGTAGTATGTTATAGTAAACATACTTTTTTAAATGATTCTAATAATCATTTTTGTTGTTTATGAGAACTCAATGGTGCACTTTTCTGGTTGATACAATCCTGCTAGCTAAATGGTGCTCAGAACTGATTTAAGATTTTTATAAAAACACTAACATCACTCTTGAGAATTTCATATTTCATCTCTCTGTTTCTTGTATTCTGTGAGGACTGTATCAATTAAAATTTTATTATACTATTGCTACTTTATATATTCTAGTTTGCTATCCATTTAGCATAGTTAGAAAATATAAACACCATATTTTATAAAATATTTATGTTCTGATTTTATGGCTTTGACACTTGTAAAGGTGTCTAGGAACTCGTTTCTATACGCATCGTAGGGGCCGTGCGGCACACAGACAGCACGTCCTGGAAGTGACTACATGCTTACTGATGCTGTGACACGCTTAGGAGACCCTGCCCTGCGTGGGATCTTTGCGTACATTTTGCTCTGTGCCCATGGCTTACCCCCAAAGTGAAAACTAAGACCCACATTGTACCAAACAGTGAAATAGCTAGTCTTAGATCAGCTTACCCCTATCAGTGTGGACAAGGTCAAGACACCACGCCGAGAAGCACGCTTCAAGCTGTCCATGCAACTCAGCTTTCTTGCTGTGTGCAGCTGCCGCACACACCCACACCTCCTTCCCCACCCCCAAAGCCAACCCCTCCTCCACCTTTGTGATATCATCATTCAAATTCCTTCTTTATTTTACACTCACGTTCTGCGTCCTTTATGCTGTATGAGAAAGGCTACGTCAGCCTTAGCTCCAAGTTAGCCTCAGCGTACCCCAGCATTGCAGCCAGGGCGAAGAGACGAGCCAGTGACAGAGAGGGTCTCTTCACTGGTGGACCCCAGCCACCCAGTTCCCTGTCTGACTGAATGTTTGGAGAGGAAACCCAGGATACTCCACAGAAAGGCCGTCAAATTCCTGAGACATAGTCCACATCCCCAGCCTAAGTAGTAGTGAGTATGGGAGGATGCTCTCTTGTCCTTTCCACTCACTCACCAGGATTCCCCCTCCACAGCGTGTCACAGGGAGAGCTTCCTGTCTGTGCTCCCCACTGGGTGTGGGGAGACCTCAAGCGCCAGCGCTGACGACAGGAGAGACATGGTAGGCTTTCTTGCCTCACTGCGCTATTGGCTGGCGAGCTCCCTTGACTGCTAAAGCAACAATTGCCAAGAGCCTTGGCCAAGAGTAAGGGTCAGACTCACCTGCCTTCTCTCTAGACACTTCCTTTGCCCCGAAGCTCTTTCCTGGGGTTGCCGCTTTATTTCTCATGGGTAAGGAACTGCACTAATTTCTAAAACTGCCTGCCTCAAACTGGTCATTTTGCAAATTTGATCAAGATGAAACTTTTAATAGGTATTATGGAATGTCTGTTTCTTTTCGGTAGTGACCTGAAATGATACCTAATGTTCACTCATCCTTTCTGTCATGGAGTGGAACCACCAACTGACATTCTCAGGTCTGGATATCTGGTCTCAGAATTAGTCTTTGTCCCCCTTGAGTTATTACACAAGATAGAATTTCTGAAAGGACAAAATGCGAAGCACCTCATTCTCCCTTAGTTACCTTCCTTCTATCCATCCTTTGTGGCCTTGGATTTCAAGGTTCCAGGCCAACTATAGCTTTTTCAACAGAGAAAACAGTCTTAATTTTGCTTCAATTAATCATTCTGTCCCTCCTTAGGCCTCTTAAAGAGGGAGCCTTTTGGAAATGTTTTCCACATCAATAATGGCCTAAACATGCCTACCCAAATTGTAGGCAAAACTACAAGGGACTTGACCCATCATTGGTCCTGATCAGACCTCAGACCTCATTCTTCCAAGTTCCTGTGCCGAGTTCACAGGCCAAGGAGGAGGGGCACAGGGACTAGAGATTGCTTCATCCCAGGGAACTGATACCACTTCCACCTAGGGAAATGGATTTCACTGCCCAAACCAACAATGGTTCATCCTACCCCAATGCTCAAGACCAGGTTTCCAGGACCCAGATAACTAGAACCTCACAGGCTTCCATTTTCATGTTGTTATTCTTTTTCAACACAGATAGGGGTGGGAAAACCCTCCCTGGTAGCCTTTGGAATGTCTACTGCCAGGAAGAACTGGAGCCCCAGACTCTTAGGAAAAAGCTCGCATCTTATGTAACATGGAGACATGGGTCCTCTACCACTTGGGCAACAGGGGAAAGTTGACAGGAGCTTTCTAAGTTATACCATCCTACATTTAGATGTATTTTGTGAGAGGAGAAACAGAATGAAGTCCTGTGTGCAGCTGTTCTTCATTCTCTAAGACCACCCCTGTCACTTGTTTTTCAGCAGAATTTACTCTGTAGCCAGTCAGTCCAGACCTCTTCCCTCAGATAAATGCATGCCCTTGGAGGGAAGAAACCAAGACTCAGCTCCACTTTATTTGGAGATAAACTCTCCCCAGCCCAATGCAAATATGCTTCCTTATGCATTCAGAGGGGAGGAGAAATAGACCATCAAATTTCACTCATGCTGAGCTGGGAGAAATAAGGAAGAACCTAGGGAGTCCTGACTACTATATTCTAGCCTTTGATGGGCTTACTTATTTGTTTGATTTATCCTGTTTTCAAGGGCTAACTCCCTTTGAACTCCTATGTGGGCAACTCTCCCTCGGGAATGCCATCCTGATAGATGAGGAAACCAAGGGACCCCTGCAGCAGGTGAAATCCCCAGCCCAGTTGCAACAATCCTATTAGCCTTGAAACAGATGAACTCCATTCCCACTGCAGCCTGAACCTCTCTTGTCCTGGACTTTAGTATCAACCAAAAGCTTAGCTGCTCAGGACATAAACAAACCATGGTGGGACAGTCTCCACGGCATTATCTTTTCAACTCTCACTGTAGTCCAAGTGATCAGAGATGATTCCTAGGTGCATCACTCACAAATAAAGCCATTGATTTCACCTTTAGGGACAACAGCGGCAGATAAATGAGCTCTGCTACACACAACCAGACACATAGAGTCCAGTAGACTTATATCTGTGAGCCTGTGGAAGATCGCAAACTGCTCTTTAAAGGGAACTGCCATAAATTACAAATGCCCCTGTTTCTAATAGTATGCCAAATATATATATCACCTCTCTCAAAACAGTTTGCCTTGGAGGTTTTCTGGACTTTGTTACAGTCCTTCTCCAAGAGCTCCCCTATGACCAGTTGATGTATGACAAATTGCTTGACGACGTAGTTTCAAGACCTTTTTTCTAGTTTGACACCTACTCAACTGCACTGTCACACTCACATGTTCTCATATGTTCTTCTTGCATGGCCCCTATTGGAGACACAGTAAGGCACCCCTTGTGCATAGCATACCTTTGCCTGTGGCTGCAACTTATAGTAGCTATGTTTCTTCAAAATAAGTGTCTTCAGCCGAAGGGGTGGAACACCTTTCACTGCTCCTAATGGGACATGATTGTGTCTCCTGGCCACACTTTACATCCTTTTACTACTCTCTAGTCTGAGGAGCCTGAGACTGCAACTTCCTAGAAAAAAACTTCTATGACTTGCTAAGGCATTGCCAGGGGCCTCTCCTGACTATTGGGAATATTTTCAGGGAGCCATAAGGGCCTCCTCGCTGCCAGTGTTGCTGCTGCCAGGGTTGAAAGTTCCTAGTCAAGTGTGTTTCTTGAAGACAGACCTCCAAAGTCTTATAAATCACTGTTAGACCTAACAGGACTGCCCCCCTTAAAGTGTCTTTACCAAGGGCCCCCAACACCCACAGGCCCCTGCCTGATACAATACCCTGTTAAAACTTCAAACAATATAGTGTAACAAAGAATAGCAATATGCATATCTAAGTTTTTAACCTATTCTGCTCTTACAGAAATCATACACTGAAACATATTTGAACATGAAATGTCCAAGAAATTGTATTAGACCATTTCCAATCAATATGTTACACATGATATTGTTTGCAGAAAATTAATTGACTTCCTTGGTCTTTACTTTCTTTTGATCTAAAGCAACTTGATGATTACAATTGACCTAACATGCACATAAATCTATTAACACAAGCAAATCTTCTTAGATATGTAATAAAACCTAGCTTACAGCAGACGTCTAAGAGTAGAAAATGCTTAGGAGGGAAAATGCTCATGTTGAATTCTTGATTATAGTTTCCCAAAAATATTAATGGTAAACAAACAGCAGAAATGAAAAGTAATCATTTTTTCTAAGAAGTCACTCACGTCCTTTAAAGAGAAACAAGTCACATTTGAACACATAGATAATTAGATAATTTCTACAAGATAGAAGTACAGGCAGGAATTTTAGAATGGTCTAGAACAACCAGTCACTAGGGATATCACGTTAGAAGAATAAAAATGACGGAACAAGCCTATAGACAATCAGAAGAGAGAATGAGTGTTGTCTTCTTTATTTCCTTCAACGCCTGCTGAAAAGGTCACAGCAAGAACTTTTTAAACACTTACTGTACCTAAATTTCCAAGATAATTTAAAAAAGATTTTTGTAAGTCCATAAGTACAAGTGCATACAAATGCCAGTGTGAATAGCAGACTATTCACACTGTTTCCTGCCCCTTTAATTTCTTGCTGTGTATAAAAATGTCACTTGACTGTTGCATCTAGTGATGATAATGAAGAGCATAATTAGAGAAAAAGGATCTATGTTTCATTTACCTCAGTAGTCAAATTTTGTACAACATCTTTCTTTCCATTGATGTAGGCAATTTTTTTTAGTTCTTTGGCAGCTTGTTGTGTTTTTCCAGTAACCAAAAGCCAGCGAATCGACTCTGTGAAGCAACAACTATAAAGCAGACAGAGAGTTATTAATGAGAGGTCTCATCTCCCAGTCAAGAGAGATGCACGTCCTGTTCATAAAGCAATGATTTTGACAGCATGTACATATAATTGCTCTTGTTGAGGAAAAGAGTACTTGGATTCAACACTCTCTCTACCTACTCATCAACTGTACCATCATGGCCTATTTCCAGAGACCCTACATTTTGATAGAAGGAAGGCTACCTCATAAGGAATACAGATTCTCAGATTTAGAACCTAAATATGTCTGTTCTTTGTCCATTTCTTTTCCTTTTATTATATCAGTAATGACTGGGCTTGCCAAATAGCTCAGTGGATTGAAGGGGCCTGGGGTTTGATGCCCTGGCCTGCTATCCTGGTCCCACCCCTGGAATGTGCTGAGATGGCAATTGAAACTGGATATGGTGGCACACGCCTGTAATCCTAGCACTTGGGAGGCTGTAAACAAGCATATCACTATAAATCTGATCTACTAGTGAGACTCTGAACACCCTCTAGACCGTTCCCTAAAAGAATACAAAAAAAAAAGAGACTGATTCACAATTTTTATAGATGAAACTTCCTGTGTTCTTTGAAGTTTTAATTATTACAAAACTTTCATTTTGTCTATTTTAAATGATATCCATTATTTTATCCCTAGAACATTAATTAAACTTCATCAATGCAAGAATAAGTGCAAAAAGAAATCAGGAAAAAATCATCTTTTTCCACATCTTGTCAGCAGATGTAATTTAGAGGTTTTTTTTTTTCTTTGTTTTGTTTTCTGTGATTTGATCTGAGAAGGACCTCAGAAAAAGTAAAGAAAGAATAGGTAAAGTACAATTGTTGAGCTACAAGTTTATCAATTTTTCTAAATTTAATACAGACCCAATTCTGCAATCATTGATGATTTTCTTTTCAGATTTATAAACCCTTTTCTATTTCATTAAAAATTACCTTTAATACAAGAAAAATGATGAGTATTGATGATCAAGCTCAAAGTACATAACAAATTTCACATACCAAGAGAAGAGAAAAAAAATCAAGAAGGGTGAGCCAAAGACCCACTGAAGCCTGCGCCAGTCTCGGAAAGCATACGCTAATCCTCCAAGGAAGATGTGTCCGACATTCCCAGACAACAACTGTGACGCAACAACCACGGGCTTCCAATTTGCAGCAGTCACTTCTAAAACTAAAAATACATTAAACGTTAAGATACTCAACACCAACTAGGAAAGATGATTGCAAAAAATGTAACTTAACATGGAAACATATTTTGTGCAGATGAGGCACAGCAAGGCTCACCTATGATGATGAGGTTGGTTTGAATAACACTCACAAATGCAGAGGAGAGGAATTTCAAGGTACAGTAAATGGAGAAGGTGGGGACAAAACCACAGCAGATGCTCAGAACACCACAGGCGAGGCAGGAGAAGACCAGCAAGGGCTTCCTTCCATATCTAGGGCAAGAGCAGGTAGGTGGGTGGCAAAGTCAGCAAACAGCTACACGCCGGTAGGACATTCCATAAAGCCTGTCACAGTTTTCAGTTTAGTTTTCCAAGTTCCTATGTCAGGGACATCCCCAAACGAATGTCGCATGAGAAATGAACACTGAACTGAGACTCTTTTATTTAAAAGTGATAGTCTCATCATAAATCATAGGCCTTTGAAGCACCACAATGTATACACAAATCTAATTATATTGGTCACTGTTCAAAGCCAGTGCCACAACTGTGTGGATTCATGGACACAGACATCCCATTCCATTGCAGCAGTCACTTCTAAAACTAAAAATACATTAAACGTTAAGATATTCAACACCAACTAGGAAAGATGATTGCAAAAAATCTGGAGAATAAATATTTGACTTAATAATTTAATCCAATGTGGTCTATCTCCAAAGAACTTTGTTCTATTCATAGCTTAAGATGCATAGATTCTACTTTCTAAATGCATTTGAAATGGTTTTTAAAACAAGGCATTGGAAGCTGGGGAGATAGCTCAGTAGAATAAGCACTTGCCTGGCAAGCGCAAGGTCCTGAGTTCAGTCCCTGGTACCGCAAAAATAAAATAAAACAAAGCATAAAATTACAGTTTATTCTTTCAGTACTGAATCCAGACATCAACAAACCAACTTTGAGGGGGAATGGTGAAAAATATGGCGATTTGTGAAAGAAATTAAATTTAAAGTATCAACACTTAAAACCTTAAATGTATGAGCTTATTTTAGGAATCTATGACAGGATGCAGCACTGTGGCTGTCCGTCGGACAGCAGAGTACATTGGTCCACTGGCAAGCCGCTCTTGGCCAAACATGGTCTCTCTCTCTTCCGCTACCTACAAGGGTATCTATTTTCTTTTTTTTTTTTTTGTCATTAATAAAACCAATAGTATCATTCTTTATATAGTGAAATCTAAATAAATTTATTGGGGGCCATCCTAAATTAGTTACAAATATTATTAGTTTCAATTCATGTAAAGGAAAATGAAGTTATTGATATTTAAAATGCACTGTTACTCTGTAAGGATAAGAGGGATAGGATTTCAGAAGTGTATAGTGACAGTGCAAACTTCTCTTTCTTGTTCTATGGTCAGTCCCAGCCACTTTGCATTTATGTCTTGTCACTTTCAGCGATGTCCCTCTCATATGCTTGTGGATCTGAAAATTACTGTTTGGCATAAGCACCTGCCTGCCAAGTGCAAAGTCCTGAGTTTGACCCCCAGAACAACCCCCCCAAAAAATTTAAAAAATTACTGTTAATTTGCAAATTTCTTGTTATATAGGTCTTGCTTTATCTTGGTTTTAACCATCCAGCAGAAAAACATAAAACTGAGGTAATAAAAAGTAAGACCATATTAATATGCTGAGCTGTAAAAGGCTCAAGTCAACAACTTCTAACACTGCCAGTCTTGTGGATAACCCACTACTATTATGGACTACTGGACTATGTTGGATTACTCTGCTGAGTTCAAGCACCTATAACATATGAATGGCAAAGGAATACCCATCTCTGACAAAAGTAAGCAAAAAAGGAGATATAAATGAAGGACCATTTTGTAGTGGAAAAAAATATATATCTGTATATACAAAATAGCATAAATACACAGCTGCTTTCTCTTAGTGCAATGAGAAGGTTTTGAACTAATAGTGTGTAGACAAGATATCATGTCTGCATATCAGTACTCTCATGAGTACTAGGAATAACCACTATAAAGACAACAATATGAAATGTATTAATTATTGTAACTGTATTACTAACCTGTTTTGAGACTATCTCATTGCTACTGCTTTCTCAATGAAATTATTGAAGTATAAAAAATAAAAAATAAAAAAATAAAATTAGGTAACATGTGTCTTTGATTCAGCGGAGTGGTTGCCAAGTAGGTTTTCACGGAACTACTTGTGTTATTGCTCTTTCAGTTGACGTCCACGTAGACTAAACACATCATCCTCTTATTAAAATGAATTCTACTCACTGAATGCATTCGTGATGTACACCAAACATTTGCGAATAAAATAATAATTTAAATCTTAATGTATTTATCTAAGTTTTGTCACATGAATAACTTGGATCTTTTCCTTAACTAGCCTTTGCTTGTTTGATTTATTTCTGGAATTTTTATCAATATTTGCATGAACAATGTTCACATCTATATAATTTCCTCCTTTTATAAAATTTCTTCTTTTGCTCAAAAATTAACCTTTCTAAATCACGTTTAAGAATTCTAGCTATATTTTAAAAGAGAAACTACAAGGCAATGTTTTCAGTTCCCACAATTTTCTGGTTATATTAACTACCACATTCAGCAGGAAGATTAATTTCTCTCCACAAAAAATTTAGCTTCTTAAGTTTATCTCTCAGGAGTATGATTGTAAGCTTTTTGCTGTAACCATATTTGTTTCTCACCAATTTTTTAACAAAATTTTGAATTTTTTAAAAACTGATTTTCCTGGTACAACTTAGATACACACAGAAGTCATATTCACCATAGGGAATTCATACATATATATGAAATATTTTGATCCCTTTTTTTTCCCGACCCCCTCCTTTCCTTTCAACCCCTCTTCTGCTCCCCATTTACAAAGCTTTTCCATTTTATCATTTTTCAACTACTTTTCTTTCCTTTTCCCACTTCTACCTTCCTAGTTCTTCTTTCCTTGTGAACAATTTCTTCCTACTTCACAACTTCTACTGTACCTTTTGGCCCTTATTTACCCCTGAAGTTTCTCACACCGGTGAGAGAATGCTGTGCTTATACATGTGTCCCAATTAACTTTCAATTCTTTATGTATCAGTTCAACTTTTTTTTTTTTATTGGAAATCTACACCATTGATTTTAACCTTCCAAAGTTTCTACTTCATTAAACCGTGTACCTTGAGTATTTCCCTTCTAACTTCCACACCCTCATTTTTCATATACATTATTCTTACTGAAATTTATACAAGGTTTTTGTGTGTGTGTGTTTTAGGGAAAGGTCTACATGATGTTCAGAGTCTCACTACTAGATCAGACTCGTAGTGATCTGCCTGTTTACAGCCTCCCAAGTGCTGGGATTACAGGCATGTGCCACCACACCCAGTCTCAATCAGATGTCCTGGGGTGGGGCCGGCACAGCAGGACTGGGGAATGAACCTCCAGTCCCTATGCCCGCTTGGAGGTGCTTTAATCCACTGAGCTATTTAGCCAGACCTTTTCCAATGTCTTTAAATGTGTGTTCGTTTAAAGGCATTCCCAGTTTAGAAGATGAGTCTTACCTGTCAGACGTGAAGCCAGATACAGTGATGCCCAACAGATAGCCCATCAGGGTGATGGAATGTGCCAAGTACTTGAATGATTGATAATTGCATACTAAGTCCCACTGCAAAATATTTAATAGGTGATAACACATAGCGAATGATGAAGGACGGTGGCTCAGAGGAGGCATAAAGTATCTAATGAGGAGACTAGTGCGGAGAGCAAAAATGGACCCTTCGCTCACAGTTCACTGATCGGCAACAGTTCTCTCCTCACTCTTAGCTGCATTATGTATATTATTTAAATTATCATTTCAAAAACAGAGAAAAAGCTATAATTTGATGTCAAATCACTTTCGACTTTTACAACCCAGAGAAAAACTGGTACTCTTTTTAGAAATTCAAAGATTTTGAAAGGACTCAGTAAACAGACTAGATTGCATAATGGGTAGTCTGAAGAGGGCTATAAGAAAAGATACTTAAATATGATTTCTTACCAGACAGAATTTTTCAAAAAATCAAACAATGGGTTGCAGAACAGAAGAAGTTAAAGAACAATTGGGGAGAGAATATGAGAGAAGAAGAGATATTTCTGATATTCTACAGCCTTTTCTATCCTACTTCATTCCATAGCGAAGTGTGTTCTCAAGGCCGGATAAAAAGGAAGCCTAACACCCAAACCCAAATGGCGCAGCTCCTAGAGACAGCAAGCATCCTGAAGAAGCACTCGCCTGTGACCCTGAGGTCTTTGCATCACAGTAGGATATGTACTAATCCAAGTAAGTTTAAAGCCAGCCCACATAAGGCCAGCAATGAGACTCAGGGGCAGAACACTGGCCTAGCATGCATGGATTCTGGGTTCATCCCCCAGTATGCTTTAAAAAGAGTCCTGTGGAATTTGTGGTAGCCCTTCAATAGCAGAAGTAACTCAGAAAACTCTCAAAGGACATGAATAGGTCTGATACGCTACTGAGAAGTCAAGTAAATGAGAAGTCATGAGTGTGACTCTTTTTTTTTAAAATTTGGTATAGGATCTAAAGGGTGTTCAGGGTCTCACTACACAGATAGGACACGTAGTGATCCTCCCGTTTTCAGCCTCCTAAGTGCTGGGATTACAGGCGCGCGCCACCATGCCCAGCCTCAATCGTCATCTCAGCATGCTCCAGGGTCAGGGCCAGCATGATGTGAGTGTGACTCTTAAAAATACAAAAAGTAATGAAACTCAGAATCAATTATACTTTGGTCAAAGAATAGTAGCAACTAGAAACAGCTACAAGTTAATATAATTAACAGCATGGCATGATCAAGAATTGAATTGTAAAAGAAGTGATAGTGTGGTAGAATGCATGCTTTGTTTAAAAAGCTAAATGTCTTGTCCACAGTAAAATGATTTCCAATTGGATGAACTTAATTAAATATCCTCTGAAAGTTCTGCTGTCATGAGGGTGAGCTAAGCTCCAGAAAGAAGCGTAAAAATGCTACAGCAATGCTTTTACCCTGGAGCAAGAAGGGCCTCTGAAAAGAAAGACTCTTCCAATTGACACTTGAATTAGAAAGTCATAGAGCTGGATAAAGAACTATTTTTTTAACCAGAAAACACATGCCTCTAAATACAGAGGTTGAAAGAACCTGGCAATGGTAGATGGCATGCTACGATGGATGGTGAAGAAAATCGCGAGTGCCCAAAAGGCAACGAAATAAAGAATAGAGACTGCATGCTAAAATAAATAAATGGGGCTTATAGTAAAGAGTCTTGCAAGGTAAGTTAAAGACTTTTGTGTTTTCTGCTAATCTATGGAAATCCGCTGAAGACCTTTAAGCAAGAAGCCTCCTCCTGGTTGGATTCATGAAGCCTCTTGAATGGCAGAGGTCAGGAGACGCTGACTGCACCCGAGGCTCGTGGACGGGTGCTGGCATTACCCACTCAGGTGGCATGCGTGAAACAGCAGCCACACTTACCCATCACCTTTTGAAGATGAAAAGCGAGCACAACTCTATATTTAATCCACTATGGTAGGTGAGAAAGAGATCTTAAGGTGATGCCTAACTTTCAGGTTTGAGCAACTAAGAAGAGCTGGAGGCAGATGAAGTTACAATCAGTGTGCACACACTGCCACTGAGACAGTTGAAAGGTGTCCAAGTGACACTGTGGAAGGCCAGTGACCAGAGGTGCTTCCTTCTGTCTTAATATTTATAATACTGTAAAGGCCCTTTCAACGAAGAGCAGATACTTAATCTCTGTTGAATTGGTAGCTAATGTCTCAGTGCTGAACTATGGGTAGCTTTCACTAAATGCAAACTCTGGTCCTAGGAGACATGAACTTAAGCAAAGGTCAAAGGTAGACAAAATAGTAGAGCTACACTTTCTTAGTTCCACAGATTCGTGATCTTCTCTTCACAAGCCGCTTCTCTGTCTCTCTAATCTACACAATTTCTACAAATGAAAAAGTTTTACAAAAGGTAGCTTAGTATAAAGAAGAAAATTATTTAATTTTAAAGTTTTACTTGCTAGCAATTATAATGAAACTAAATATTTTAATATAATA